GTGATTAGGTCTGGAATAACTTAACTAGGAAGCAAAACTTGGACATGACATCGAATATGCTGTTCCTTATTCTTCTATCTAAGATTTGAGGTCGACGGAGTGAAGAAAGAAGTCTTCGGTGGTTCTTTACTGCGCTAGGGAACAATTGTTAAAAAATTGGGCCAAGCTTATTTCTTGGCTATAAGAAAGCATCTGTCTGGTGCTAGCAAAGGCTGCGAAAGCCAGAAAATTGGAACAGGTACCAAAGGCCATCCTTATTGAAATTATGGGATGCTTACGACCTCTTCCACATGGCGCCCGTCGATACCGTAGCTAAGGCCTCTGCTGAAGGGTTTCAGACTGAGAATTTGGACACTGTACCGTGGCTATCGTAGGCAAGTGTTTGGTGGTGCGCAACATCAAGATGCACACGACAATGTGGAAGATCGACCGATCGATCTCAACATGTTTTCAATATATTTTCAATTGAGATAAGCCGTTTTTGAGCTTAAATAGTTCTGAGCTGGAACATCCTTAAACCAAATTCTGAATTGATTGGACGTTTTCGAACCGGCTGCCAAGATAGGTTGATCTTCCACTCAACCGTCGAAATTTATTTATTTTTAATTTTATAATTTTAATATTCGTCCATTGAAAAAGGTGTATGTAGCTGTGTGGATGCCTCTTGGCCTCTCTTCTTCCTTGTTCAATTCCGTTTTGAAAAATTATTTCAAACTAATTAAATAATTATTAATATGTACTATGTATTTCTTATTACATTTCCTCAGGTCAAATTACATGCAACGCCACCCCCACCACCCGAACAAAACTCTGTACAACGCGAGATTCGGACCACCAAAACAGGTTATATACCCCGGTAAGTGTACAGAATCTGCATAGCTTTCTGATTTACATTTGCCTTACTGAATTCCTCGTTTCTTCTACTCGTAGCTTCTATTTTCCGCATGGCAAACCACAACCGCAAATCGCAGCGGAACGCACACTGCGTGGCATTTTGTCCGCCTTCGATTCGTTCCCGAATAATCAGGTGACCAAAGATGAGTTGCCGCGCATTTTAAAAATCTGTGGCCTTCCCTTCTACTGGCGCATGCCGGTAATGATCTTTTGTCAGCAGGGTAACTCGGGATTGGTGGAGCGACAAAGATTCGTGGAATTCTGGAAACAGTAACTAATAACCAATCACTAAGTATCTACACGTACATACTGTCTGATCGACTACCTCTCGTATCTTTACTTAGAATGAACGTCTATTGTCATGATGCCGCCTCGCGTTTTGTCTACATTTTATCACGCGGTCAACGTTTTCGCCAATACATACTGCCCGAGGATTTGGCGCCGCTGGTGCAGGATGTTGTCGATACGCATCCGGGCTTGGCGTTTCTCAAAGAGGCTACCGAGTTTCATTCCAGATATGTGCATACGGTCATTGCGAGAATATTCTACTCGGTAAATAGGTGCTGGTCCGGCAGGATAACTATATCTGAGCTGAAGAAATCCGATTTGTTGGAGGTAATTATATACATACCTAAATTTATATGCATATATATAGAGGCACATGTTTTTCTAATTATCGCTTCCGTTTTAAGGTCCTAACGCTGCTCGAAGAGGAGGACGATATCAATCAAATTATGGCCTTCTTTAGCTACGAACACTTCTATGTTATCTATTGCAAATTCTGGGAACTAGATAAAGATCACGATCTATTAATTAGTCAAGATGATTTGGCACGCCACAGCGATCATGCTTTGTCCACACGCATTGTAGAGCGAATATTTTCGGGTTGTGTGACGCGTAGCGATAACAAGAAAAACCCAGAAGACGAGCCAAAAATGTCCTATACCGATTTTGTGTGGTTTCTGCTTTCCGAGGAAGATAAGCGTACACCCACCGCAATTGAGTATTGGTTCCGATGCATGGATGTCGATGGTGATGGTATGTTGTCCATGTACGAATTGGAGTACTTCTATGAGGAACAACAACAACGCATGGAATCGATTGGTATTGAAACGTTGCCATTTGAGGACTGTTTGTGTCAGGTAAGCGCGCTTGGCTGATTTGTGGTGCGTGTCTACGAGATTCGAATATTAATATTTTTCAGATGCTGGACATGATTAAACCTGCACGTCGTGATTGCATTACACTGGGCGATTTAAAGCGTTGCAGAATGACGCATGTCTTCTTCGACACATTCTTCAATTTGGAGAAATATTTGGACCATGAGCAACGTGATCCATTTGCCTCGCAACGAGACGAATATGTGAGTACACAAGCCGTGGTTAAGCTTCGACGTATTTTTTTTAATAATTAAATACGAGTAGTACATACATATTTCTCAAACGAACATGATATAGCGATATACACACTACGAAAAATGTTGGAAGTTTTGGTAAAACAAAAACTTTTCTGTATCATGTCCAATTACGTCACTCCGCGTCACAGACACTTGGTATAGATCTTGCTGAGATGGTTGTAAGTATCGGGTGTCGGCATTCACTAAGCGAAAGCTGACGAGTTATGGCTTGCCTCTCGATGAAGTCCGTTTTGAGTCTGTCTACAGTCCATCTGGTTCAAGGAATGGCGTTCCTATGGCCATATCTGGGTCCTTCAGATCCATAAGNAAGTACACAAGCTGTGATTAAGCTTCGACGTATTTTTTTCAATAATTAAATACGAGTAGTACATATATATTTCTCAAACGAACATGAAATAGCGATATACACACTACGAAAAATGTTGGAAGTTTTGGTAAAAAAAAAACTTTTCTGCATCATGTCCAATTACGTCACTCCGCGTCACAGACACTTAGTATAGATCTTGCTGAGATGGTTGTAAGTATCGGGTGTCGGCATTCACTAAGCGAAAGCTGACGAGTTATGGCTTGCCTCTCGATGAATTCCGTTTAGAGTCTGTCTACAGTCCATCTGGAATCAAGGAATGGCGTTCCTATGGCCATATCTGGGTCCTTCAGATCCATAAGATGGCTTTTGACGTGCCTGGGAAGGAACTTAATTTCAAATAAGCGGATGCGATGGCGTTGTAACAATAACTGCTTGCACAACCACAACTGCTTGCACAATTCAACTTAAAGAATTAGGGCCTCCCCGGGTAACTGCATTGCAAAATGTCACCCCTTAGGATAATAGTGTAAGGTTGCCACTTATTTTCGTTTCTGCACAATTTATCTAAAACATCGCAAAATGGATATCAAATGAAAGATATTGTTGAGAATATTGGTCAGAAAATGTTTTCCCTCAGGGTAACCACGCTTCTGGGTAATACAATTTTTTATGTTGTTAATTTTAATCACCATTTTTTTATGTATACACAGTACATATACGCTCAAGATATGTATGTAGCATTTATTCCAGCGTTTTTCGGAATAGGATTGCCACCTAAATTTTAGAGTAAGAAATTTACTTAATAGATAACGAAATCCAAATTTTTTACGTTACGATGTCACGATGCCTCACCAGTGCTCAACTGATTAATTCTATCTTGACGTTGTTGGAAAGTGCCCTTAACGGCAATGAAGAATAGCTAGCGGGTTTTCCCAATATCCGAGTAATTTTTTAATAATATAGGCCGCTTTTTTGAGAGTGCTCTTGATCGATCGGTCTTACATTTACTATTTGAAATTGTGTTTGGAACCCGAAATGTTAGCAAAAAATCTTAATAAAGAACCACTATCATTCAAAATAGGTGAAAGGTAATGTTTCAAGTTCCGGGTTACTAAAAGCAGGGAAGAAAACATAGACTATAGAAAAAATAGAATTCACTAAATCAGGGGAAATTTAGCAATTTCCAAAAAAAAAAACAAAATCGTTCATTGCTATTGTAGTTAACCTTACTAAGACTTTTACGTATTTTTCTTTCACAGTCTTCTGATTGGGATCNCAAAAGCAGGGAAGAAAACATAGACTATAGAAAAAATAGAATTCACTAAATCAGGGGAAATTTAGCAATTTCCAAAAAAAAAAAAAAAAAAATCGTTCATTGCTATTGTAGTTAATCTTACTAAGACTTTTACGTATTTTTCTTTCACAGTCTTCTGATTGGGATCGTTTTGCGGCGCAAGAGTACGAACTGCTCATCTCTGAAGAGAACAATTAAATGCATACAGATAAGATCCGAAGATACATACATATCTTTCAACAATGAAAATATTAAGCGCAAACTTTTTATACAACAAAACTAAAAAAAAACAAAATGTTCAACAAGGAAGCGGCGAATGCACCGATTTTTCTAGTACACATAAAAAAAATTTAAAAAATATTTACACATATTTTTAATATGCATAATTATTTATATACAAGTTATTAGTGAGTGCCAGTAAAATTATTAGAAACAACCAAAGCGATAAGGCCGAATGAAACCTATATCAACACACACTAACAAACGCACCAACACATACCAAAATACAGTGTTATGAGCTGAAACAAGACAGCGCGCAATCAACGTTGGGACGGGGCGGTGAAAAGCTATCAATTACTCGAATAGCCATATATGAAGAACGCTTAGCGATTGAAAATCTAGTCAAATACTCATTATTTACACATTTCGCAAACACAACAGTCAGTCAATAGAAGGAGAGCAGGCAGCTCAAAATGAAGTAAATTAAATTGTGAACGCAGTCGAATTAACATGTAACATGCCAAAATTTGTGGTAACAACAATGTGCAATAAAATATGATGCCTGAACAAATGCATTGGCACATAGGTACATAGTATATACATACAAACATCAACAAACATCCAAAGAAAATATTATATTAATTAGTCCCATAACGTTTTTGTTGTTGACTTAATTAACTTCTTTATTTACATTTGAATTGGTTTAATTTTTATGCATTGATTTTGATTTATTTGAATTATTTATTATAATATATATACGTATTATATAAAATACATTATTATTTTAAAATAAAACTTGTCACTACATTTTATTATTTAATTCTATAAAAATTCTTTTTCTCTAAACTTGCTATTTTTTTTTTGTTTGGTTCTTTACTTGTAGTAGTTTTTATTGTTGGTTACATGTCTCAGAAACAGTTCAAGTTCACCGTTATTTGTAAAGATATATTTCTACAATGTACATATAGTATTTTGCAATTTTTTCCAAAGATTTTTTATATCTTTCGTCTTCACTTTTAATTACACCCACAAAAATTGCTTAAAGTTGTAAATTTTCGAATTTCGCATTCAACGTACATACATTGCGGTAAACAACCTCGCCTTGGTCTGGCCTTTCTTCGTTTCTTTAACTTATAACATTTTCGCGTAATTCACATTTTGCAGTTCCTATTCACACATACGCTGTGCAGTGAAATATTCATGAACTTTTCTTTTTTGGGTTTATTGCAAAATATAAACTAAAAATATACATAAGTTCTCATTTATTAACTGATGTGTAATAGTATAATGGATAATTGTTTTTTTATTGTTATTTTAATATCTAAAAGTTTTCGCTTGTGATTTTTACTTAGATTTTCTTGTAGTTTTCGTTTTTCAAGAGCAAATAACGTAAAATACAAACAGTACTTTGTAGGAGTTGTGTAGGTCTTGATGTTGTTGATGTTGTTGTTGTTTTTGTTGTAGTGAAAGGAGGACTAACTCAACGCCATAACGCAACGCTTCAGTTTCTAATTCGAAAATATTGGTTCGATGAAAGGCAGACAGATATACAATTGAATTTAATAATAGCAACACTCAAGCAATGCAATGCCTGCAACATGTTGCCGCAACATTATTGCCGTCATGCTGACTTAGCAACAACTGTAGCATGTGCTGTACTGCGCCATTCTATTGCGTTATGCGTACTTTGGCGCTTTCGCTATCCTCATAGTTTTTACCCTCACTCTCGTTTTCATCAGCTGTACTCTCATCGCTATTATCCTTTCGTACGTACACTGGCTGAGCATCGCCCTTTACACAGTCCGCGGTTATATGTACACCGGTGATATCGGAACCAGGCACCAAAAACATTGGATCGAGCAGCAATTGTTCCTAATCAGGCGATAAATGGATATTAAGAGAATGTGTATGTTTGAATATTATTAGACATCACAATTACCATTATTGAACGCAGACCACGCGCACCGGTATGACGCTCCATCGCCATGGCGGCTATCGATTCGATAGCATCACGATCGAACGTTAACTCCACCTTATCCATGCCAATTAGCGCCTTGTATTGCGGAATTAAAGCATTCTTCGGTTCGGTTAGAATGCGCACCAGCATGCTCACATTGAGACTGTGGAAGGGCACAATGACGGGGAAGCGTCC